TCGCAAAGGAGAATATAAATTCTATGTGGACACCTTAGGTAAGCTAGCTTGTGAGCCAATGATTTGCTGTGCTAACCAGCCTCCAAAATAATCACCAGTGATTGCTGCCTCCTGGTATTCAGGCCTTTTTACAGTCGCCTCCAACAATGAATCAGGGTTAATCTACGTGACTGTTGTATAATAAAGACTCTGACTGCCCTTTGTTCCGGGAAAGGATACTCTAAATCCTTGGAATTTAGAGTAAATAAGCCAGTGGAAATTAAATAATAAACTCCTGGCCGGGCGCGGTGGCTCAAGCCTGTAATCCCAGCACTTTGGGAGGCCGAGACGGGCGGATCACGAGGTCAGGAGATCAAGACCATACTGGCTAACACGGTGAAACCCCGTCTCTACTAAAAAATACAAAAAATTAGCTGGGCGAGGTGGCGAGCGCCTGTAGTCCCAGCTACTTGGGAGGCTGAGGCAGGAGAATGGCGTGAACCTGGGAGGCAGAGCTTGCAGTGAGCTGAGATCCGGCCACTGCACTCCAGCCTGGGTGACAGAGCGAGACTCCATCTAAAAAAAAAAAAAAAAAAAAAACAACACCCCTAAACCAGTGAGTCAAAAAATAAATCAAAAAGGAAATTAGAAAGTACCTTGAGACAAATGAAAACCTAATAAAAACTTATGGGATGTGGTGAAAGCAATGCTAAGATGGAAATTTAGAGCTGTAAATGCTTACATTAAAATAGACCTCAGCCAGCAGTGGTGGCACATGCCTGTAGTCCCAGCTACTCAGGAGGCTGAGATGGGAGGATCACTTGAGGCCAGGAGTGCAAGGCTGCAGTGTGCCATGATCACACCTGAAAAAAGCCACTGAACTCCAGCCTGGGTAACAGAGTGAGACCTTGTTTCTAAAGTCAGCCAGGCACAGTGGCTCACACCTGTAATCCCAGCACTTTGGGAGACCGAGGCGATTGGATTACTTGAAGTCAGGAGTTTCAAACCAGCCTGACCAACATGGGGAAAGTCTATCTCTACTAAAAATACAAAAATTATCTGGGCATGGTGGCGCACACCTGTAATTCCAGCTACTTGGGAGGCTGAGGCAGGAGAATTGCTTGAACCCAGGAGGTAGAGGTTCCAGTGATCTGAGATTGCACCACTGCACTCTGGCCTGGGCAACAGAGTGAAACTGTCTCAAAAAAAGTAAAAAGACCTCAAATCAACCAACCTAACTTTAAAGGAACTAAAAACAATAAAGAAAACAAATGAATCAAAAGTTGGTTCTAACAGGGTCATGGGAATCTCTAAATCTGTAGCCAGGTGGTCAAAAATGCAGTTGGCTGGGGGTACCTCCAAAGTACAGCTGGCATCTGAAGTGAGGACAGTCTTGTTGAGGACCATGCCCTTTGACCTGTAGGTCTATGCTAACTCTGGGTGGTGTCAGAAATGTATTGCCATGGTCGGGAGTGGTGGCTCACGCCTGTAATCCCAGCACTTTGGGAGGCGGAGGCAGGCAGATCACGAGGTCAGGAGATCGAGACCATCCTGGCTAACACGGTGAAACCCCATCTCTACTAAAAAATACAAAATATTAGCCGGGCATGGTGGCGGATGCCTGTAGTCCCAGCTACTCGGGAGGCTGAGGCAGAAGAATGGCGTGAACCCGGGAGGCAGAGCTCGCCATGCTCTAACCTGAGGAACAAAGTGAGACTCCATCTCAAAAAAAAAAAAAAAAAAAATGTATTGTCATGTACCACTTGATGTCAGAATACTGACAGAACAAGGTGGATGTGACAGTGAGTGACTTCTGAGGCAAAGTCATAGAGTAGACTATGGTTTTTGTCTTGTTCTCTTAGATTGCTTGTTCAGGGAGAAGCCAGCCACCGTATAAGGGTGCTCACACAGCCCTGAAAGAGGCCTACATTGGGAAGAAATGAAACTTCCCCTTAAACAGCATGAATGTGCCAGCCATGTAAATGTGTCACCATAGAACTCCATCAGACTTCAAGCTTTTTTTTTCTTTTTTGAGATGGAGCCTTGCTCTGTTGCCCAGGCTGGAGTACAGTGGCGCGTGATCTCGGCTCACTGCAAGCTCCACCTCCCAGGTTCATGCCATTCTCCTGCCTCAGCCTCCTGAGTAGCTGGGACTACAGGCGCCCGCCACCACGCCCAGCTAATTTGTGTGTATGTGTTTTTAGTAAAGACAGGGTTTTACCATGTTAGCCAGGATGGTCTCCATCTCCAGACCTCGTGATCCGCCCACTTTGGCCTCCCATAGTGCTGGGATTACAGGTGTGAGCCAATGCACCCAGCCAGACTTCGAACTTTTAAGAGACCCTAAGCCAGAACCTCCCCATAGCTAAGCTATTCCCAAATTCTTGAGAGACGTAATAGATATTTGTTGCTGTGTTAATCCACTAAGTTTTGGGTTATTTGTTATACAGCAATAACTAATATACTTTGCTTCCTCTAAGGACAGAGAGAATGATGTATCCTGGGAGTTAGTGCCCCTTTTTTACTTTGCTATGTAAATAGGGAATTTAGAATATATTCTAAACACAAAACACATTGAATACTATTATCACTAGCAATCAAATTAAGTTTATAAGTGTCATATTAAAAAAAAAACCTTGCTAGCTAGGTATGGTGGCAGGCACCTGTAATCCTAACTACTCAGGAGGCTGACGCAGGAGAATCGCTTGAACCCCAGAGGCAGAGGTTGCAGCAAGCACCAATGCACTCTAGCCTGGGCAACAGAGTGAGACTCCGTCTCAAAAAAATAAATTAAAAAAAAAACAAAAAACCAAACACCTTACTAGGCACGGTGGCCCACGCCTGTAATCCTAGCACTTTGGGAGGCTGAGGGGGGTGGATCAGCCTCCTCAGCGGGGAGGCAAAACTCCATCTCTAATAAAAATACAAAAATTAGCCGGGTATGGTGGCGGACACCTATGATCCCAGGTACGAAAGAGGCTGAGGCAGAATAGCTCGAACCTGGGGGATGGAGGTTGCACTGAGCCAAGATTGTGCCACTTCACTCCAGCCTGGGCAAAAGAGCGAGAGACAACAACAAAAAATGGGTGAGGTGCTCAATTCCTGCCCCCTAGGTAGGAATATACTATACTTTATCAATGTAAAATGTTGCCTGAGCAAAAATTTGTTTTCATTTATCAAATATTTATTCAGTGCTTCCTTTGAAAATTCTAAATTACTTATTTGAATAAATATATGCACGAGATAAGGTAAAATAGGGTAAACAGTGTTTCTTGCATATCCTTTTAGGAATATTCTATGGCTACACAACATCTCTAGAGACATTTCCCACAAATGAAAGCACACTATATATTGTTCTGTACCTTGCTTTTTCTGTTAATGTATCTTAGAGATCATTCCACTTCAGAACAAAGTACCACTTTGTAAGTAAAGTACTACCTTTGATGTACTTTATTTACATCAGTTCTCTACACCATATAAATTTTATTAACATATTATATAAAAATATATAAATATATATTATATATGTAAATTATACACACACACACACACACACACACACACACACATATATATATTTTTTTCCCCGAGACAGTGTTGCTCTGTCGCCCAGGTTGGAGTGCAGTGGTGCAATCTCAGCTCACTGCAACCTCTACCTCCCGGGTTCAAGCAATTATCCTGCCTCAGCCTCCAGAGTAGCTGAGACTACAGGCAAGCGCCACTATGCCCGGCTAATTTTTGTATTTTTAGTAGAGACACGGTTTCACCATGTTGGCTAGGCTCATCTCGAACTCCTGACCTCAAGGAACCCACCGCCTTGGCATCCCAAAGTGCTGGGATTACAGGTGTGAGCTAACACACCCAGCCTACAGATGGGTATTTAGATTACTATAAATATTGTGCTATACCAATGTCAAGTTTCTATTATCGTCTACTTGAACTTAAACTTGTAAATCCAAGTGGTAAGGCCTTCCTCACTCTAAAGGGCATTTTGCCTCATCAGTTTTTACTCCCGTTCTTACTGATATATATATATATAAAAAATCAATTATATATATCATATATACACACACATATATACATATACATACAAAGGTTGTTTTATTTTTCAATGTTTTTATTGTGATAAAATACACATAAAATTTACCATATTAACCCTTTCGAGTATACAATTCAGTAGTATTAAGTACATTCATACTGCTGTGCAACCATCACCATAATCCATTTCCAGGACTCATTTCTTCTTCCCAAACTGAAACCTTGTACACATTACACAGTAATTCCCTCTCACTGCCCTTCCTGCAGCCCCTGGCGACCATCATTCTACTTTCTGTCTCTTATAATTCTGATGCTGCCCAAGCTGGGGTGCAGTGGCTACTCACAGGCACAATCAGCGTACTGCAGCCTTGAACTTCTGGCCTCAAACAATCCTACTACTTCAGTTTCCAGAGTAGCTGGTACTACATACAAGGTTTCAATCCTCAAAGCAATTGCACACTGAATGGTTTCATATAAATAATCAAGGTACAAGTAGGCGTTAATGGGTTGAACTGTGTCCTCCCAATATTCGCATGTTAAAAGTCCTAGCCCCTAGTACCTCATACTGTGACTTTATTTGGTAATAGAGTCATTGCAGGTAATAGAGTCAGCAGCTAAGATGAGGTCATAACAGAGCAGGATGGACACCAATCCAGTATGACTGGTGTCCTTATATTAGGATTCAGATACACAAACGGGAAGAACTTCATGTGAAGATTGGAGTTATGCTGCCACAAGTTAAGGAACCACAAGAAGTTAGAAGGATTGGAAATTTTTTTCAGTGCATTCAGAGGGATGGCCCTGCCAACACTTTGGTTTTAGACATCTGACCTTTATTTAGAACTATGAAACAATTTCTGTTATTTTAAGCTACCCAGTTTGTGGTGCTTTATTACATCAGGCCTAGGAAACTAAAACTAACACAGCAGGTGTGAAGCCTGTTTTGCAGATATAATGTCATTGTCAATTAAGAAAGGACATACCGGCCAGGCGTGGTGGTTCACACCTCCAATCTCAGCATTTTGGGAGGCCAAGGTGGGTGGATCACAAGGTCGGGAGTTCAAGACGAGCCTGCCGAATATGGTGAAACCCCATCTCTACTAAAAAAATAAAAATTAGCCGGGTGTGGTGGCAGGCGCCTGTAATCCCAGTTACTCAGGAGGCTGAGGCAGGAGAATCGCTTGAACCCGGGAGGCGGCGGATGCAGTGAGCCGAGATTGCACCATTGCACTCCAGCCTGGGCAACAAGAGCAAAAGTGTCTCAAAATAAATAAATAAATTCATTCTAAAATTTGCCTGGTTTAAGAGAAAAGTGAATTATTATTCACTGTTCGTGGGAATGTAGATCGGAACAGCCACTATGGAAAATAGTATGGAAGTTTTTTTGTTTGTTTGTTTTTGAGATGGAGCCTCAGTCCATAGCCCGGGCTGGAGTGCAGTGGCATGATCTCGGCTCATGGCAACTTCCGCCTCCCAGGTTCGAGCGATTCTCCTGCCACAGCCTCCTGAGTAGCTGGAATTACAGGCATGAGCCACTGCGCCCAGCTGGGAAGTTTCTAAAGAAATTAAAAATGGAACCACCACATAACCCAGCACTCCCTCTGCTGGGCATATAACCAAAAGACATGAAATCACCACCTCATAAAGATGTCTGCACTCCTATGTTCAGTGGAACATTATTCACAACAGCCAAAATATGGAAACAACCTAACTGTCCATCAATGGATGAATGGATAAACCATAGAAACTACAGTGCATATATATGATGGAATGTTACTCAGCCCTAAAAAAGAATGAGCTCTTGGCCAGGTGCAGTGGCATACGCCTGTAATCCCAGCACGCTGGGATCAAGCCAGGAGTTTGAGACCAGCCTGGCCAACATAGTGAAATCCTGTCTCTACTAAAAAAATACAAAAATTAGCCAGGCGTGGTGGCGCACACCTGTAATCCTGGCTACTTGGGAGGCTGAGGCAAAAGAATCGCTTGAATTAGGGAGGCAGAGGCTGCAGTGAACCAAGATAGCACCACTGCACTCCAGCCTGAGTACAGAGATGCAGAGCAAGTGCTGACAGAGCAAGACTCTGTCTCAAACAAAAGAAAAAGAAAAAAAGATTATTCACTGTTCGTGGGAATGTAGATCGGAACAGCCACTATGGAAAACAGTATGGAAGTTTTTTTTTTTTTGTCACAGCATAGATGAGTCAGGAGTACAGAAAGAAAAATATTGCACAATCTCATTTACATGTGAATTTTTTAAAAAATATCAAATATACAGAGTTAGAGAACAAAACAGTGATGGGGGAGTTAGTAAAGGAAGAGATATAGGTCAGAGGATACAAAGGAACAGTTACGTAGGCTGAACAAGTCTAACGATCTAATGTACAACATGACAACTATAGGTAATAAAATTGTACTGTAAACAGGATCCATGCTAAATGAGATTTTAGCTGTTGACACAAAAACAAAAGAATAACTATGTGAGACAATGGATGTTAATTTACTTCACTGTAGAAACCTTTTTACTATCTATATGTATCCTATAACATCATGTTGTATACCTGAAATATACACAAAATTTGTTTAAATAAAACCACCCAGTAATATATATATTTTTTTATTGTATTTTTGTTTGAGATGGAGTCTGTCTCTGTCCCCCAGGCTGAAGCGCAGGCAGAGGCGCAATCTCAGCTCACTGCAGCCTCCGCCTCCCACGTTCAAGCAATTCTCCTGCCTCAGCCTCCCAAGTAGCTGGGATTACAGGCGTATGCCACCACACCTGCTTATTTTTTGTAGAGATGGGGTTCCCCCATGTTGGCCAGGCTGGTCTCAAACTCCTGACCTCAAGTGATCTGCCCACCTCGGCCTCCCAAAATGCTGGGATTATAGGCTTGAGCCACAGGGCCAGGCCTATTTTTTTAATCATTTGATTTCCTTCAATCTAATTAAATATGTGTCTTTTTTCTTTAGACAGTAAAAATTATTGGTAGTTTGAGCAAATGATCAAGATTACTCCTTTTTATTTAATACGTTTTTGTTGAAAAATAAAATATTTAACTTAAATTTCAATAGCTTATAGTCATTTTTCATGTTCATCTTCTGTTGAAGCTAACGGCTTATTGTTCCACTTCTATGTACCTGTTTTCATGCTGCTTAAACAGTATTTGGAACGATTAGCCCACGATTACTTACTTGCCAAGTCCTGAGTTCAGAATTTTGTTTTTGAGATGAATATAAAAGCACCTAAAGGTCAAGGAAAATTTTCTTCCTGTGATAAGGAACCTAAAAATAAAAAGAACATTAAGGATATAGCCCTCACTGGTGCTAGTATTTTCAGTGTGCAATATTAAACAAACAAGCTATCGTTAAAAAAAAAAATCAATATCATAAACTATTCAAAAGGAATAATAAGAAAGCAGTTACTCTCTACCTGCACTGGCATTAATTTTAAAAAGATGTCAAGTCTTGGAGCAGTGATTCTCAAGCTTTTACGGAACACTGTCCTCTTTGAGAATCTTATACTATGGATCTTCTCCTTCCCACAAAAATGTGCAATTGTGCAGAAAATTTCCAGTAGTTTATGAACCCCTACTTAAGACCTTTGTGTCAAGCCTCTGAGCCCAAGCCTGCATGTATACATTCAGATGGTCTGAAGCAACTGAAGAATCACAAAAGAAGTGAAAATGTTCGATTCCCGCCTTCCCTGATGACATTACCTTGTGAAATTCCATCTCCTGGTTCAGAAGCTCCCCCACTGAGCGCCTTGTGACCCGCCTACCCCTGCCCACAAGAACACAACCCCCTTTGACTGTAATTTTCCACTACCTACCCAAATCCTATAGAACTGCCCACCCCTAACTCCCTTTGCTGACTCCTTTTTCGGACTCAGTCCGCTTGCACCCAGGTGAAATAAACAGCTTTATTACTCACACAAAGCCTGTTTGGTGGTCTCTTCACAGGGATGCGCGTGACACTTTGCTTTAGTGTAGATGACCACTCCCCTCTGTAAGGTAGGGAGGAAGAATGTTTGGTTAGTTCCTTTCCTCTGGCCGATCTCTTTTTTTTCTTCTCCTGGATGAGACAAAGACAAAAAAACAAAAAATAAACTAACAAAAGCGATAAAAAAGGTCTCATATAGAAGTCCTTCTGTGTTATTTTTCAGCTCTAGTAAATCCAAGGCCAACAAAGCGCATACCCAAAAACATTCATTTGTCTAATGGTGTGTCCATCGGAACTGAACTGATGTGCCAGTTTTAAACAGGCCACACCAATTTAGAAACCTAGTAACAGGAACTTTTCTAGAATTTAACTGCGAGACCGGATGAGGGGTTACAACAATCCAAATTACAAAAAGAGACAACCCGTTTAGTCAAGAGAATCGAATACTAAATGCCTCACGGTGTTGACACTGTGCAACCCCACCGCTTTACACAAACTACGTCCTCATAACATTAACCTATCATTCTGCCTCTATAAAAACAATAGTGTACACTGAACTCCTGTACTTCTGGGTCGGAAACCAAAAACGGTGAATTCTATCAAAATCCTGGCATCAGCCAAAATTAATGCGCCATTAGAACGTTATGAGGACATCAGTGCCAGAACCGCTTACTCAGATCATAAAAGTTTGGGAGGTGGGAGTGGGAGCCAACGGATTTAGTAAAGGTTGCACCAGGATGTCTGCGATAAACACACGCGAATGCAATTCCCAAGGGGAACCTGTTACAAGTCTCAAGGTCAACGAGCTGGGGACACAAAATACTCAGAGCCACAACAGGCCTCAACTGATACCGCAGCCGGGCAAACAGGGGGCCCGAAGTCCTAAGGCGAGGAGGATAAGTAAATCAATAAAACAAAGATATTCTTCGAAAAATAAATCGATGGCAGAAGCAGCGGCTGCCAGATACAGCCCCGTGGGGGTGCAAGCAGAAAGCACAAAGGTGGCTAAAGGCATGGCACTGGGAAGGACCGAGGCGGCCTGAGGAGTGGGCTGTGCGACACACCCAGAAGGCAGGTGCCGGCCGCCCCGGAGCAGCCGAGGTTGGAATCCCCGCCCGGCCGAGGCCGAGGTCGGCTGCCCGCAACTCACAGGCTCCTGCGCGCTTCCGTACCCTGCCCGGCTGGGCCACACCACCTCCTCGGCGCCTGCTCGTCCCCCAGTCACTGGCCTTCTCGGCTCACCTTCAACGGTCCAACAGATGCACTCGGCCTCCCGGGGGCTACCCGCCCCCGGCCCAAAGGCCAGTTTACAGCGGCACGCCTTACTCCGCCATCTTCGCAGCTTCTCAAGTCAGCCAACCCTGCGGTGGGCCGTTGCCACAAGCCCCGCCTCCGCTGCTGCAGCTGAGTGATGATTGGACATCGTCCTGCTCGCGCGCGCTCTCCTTGCGTCCTATGGTGGCTGGAATGCACGTCAATCAATAGCTCTCGCCGCACTCTTTCGATCCCTTTTTAGTCGGATTAGGTCCCAGAATCGAGGTAATGCGGCAAATGCTTTTGTAATTTATTTATTAAGAATGTAAAATTTCCGCGTAGAAGCTGTACCACGTGGTAAGATAGTGTGGCTAGGCTGCGTGACTATTTTAAGCCACTGTTAGGTTAAACTGTAGTACTAATAATTTTATTCTCAGACCCGAGGGTTTTGTTTTTGTTTTTGTTTTTGTTTTTTATACAGTCTCTGTCGCCCAGGCTGGAGTGCAGTGGCGCGATCTTGTCTCACGGCAACCTCCGCCTCCCGAGTTTAAACGATTTTCCTGCCTCAGCCCCTCAAGTAGCTGGGACTACAGGCGCATGCCACTACGCCGGGCTAATTTTTGTATTTTTAGTAGAGATGAGATTTCACTATGTTGGCCAGACTGGTCTCGAACTCCTGACCTCAGGTGATCCACCCGCCTGGGTCTCCCGAAGTGCTGGGATTACAGGCATGAGCCATCGCGCCCAGGCTTTTAATTCTGGGGTAGCACACCACCTGGAGAAAAAATGTAATGGTTCCAGTTTGTCTCTGTCTTTGACTCTTAGAAGGTTCAAACGTTGTCCTGTTTACAGCTTTGGTCAATACAGGAGAGAAGGATTCGTCACTTTTCTGAGGGCCCTCCTGCATAGAGGAAACCTGTTATAACTGGCAGTTTTGTCGTTTGCTACACCCAACCTTAGGACATCCTTTCTTCTGCACCATTTCCCAGAGGGGCAGGTGTCAGGCCTGAGCCCAAGCTAAGCCATCATATCCCCTGTGACCTGCACCTATACATCCAGATGGCCTGAAGCAACTGAAGATCCACAAAAGTGAAAATAGCCTTAACTGATGACATTCCACCATTGTGATTTCTGCCCCACCCTAACTGATCAATGTACTTTGTAATCTCCCCACCCTTAAGAAGGTTCTTGGTAATTCTCCCCACCCTTGAGAATGTACTTTGTGAGATCCACCCCCTGCCTGCAAAACATTGCTCCTAGTTCCACCGCGTATCCCAAAACCTGTATGAATTAATGATAATCCACCACCCTTTGCTGACTCTCTTTTGGGACTCAGCCCGCCTGCACCCAGGTGAAATAAACAGCCTTGTTGCTCACACAAAGCCTGTTTGGTGGTCTCTTCACAAGGATGCGTGAGACGACAGGAAGGGCATATATGGGGTGGCTCCTCTTCGGGGTTATGACAGGCGGGGCCCAGCGTACCGTGCTTGCCAAACACCAAGAGGGCTGTCATCTGGGTGGATTCATAGAAATGCATAGAAATGCAGATTCCTGGCCTGGTGCTGTGGCGCACACCTGTAATCCCAGCACTCTGGGAGGCCGAGGCAGGTGAATCAACAGACGTCAGGAGACCAGCCTGGCCAACATGGTGAAACACCATCTCTACCAAAAATACAAAAATTAGCCAGGTGTGGTGGCACGTGCTTGTAGTCCCAGCTACTCAGGAGGCTGAGGCAGGAGAATTGCTTGAACCTGGGAGGTGGAGGTTACAGTGAGCCAAGATTGTGCCATTGCACTCCAGCCTGGGCAAGAGTGAGACTCAATCTCAAAAAAGAAAAAGAAAAAGCTGGCCAGGTGTGGGGGCTTACGCCTGTTATCCCAGCACTTTGGGAGGCCGAGGCATGCGGATCACGAGGTCAGGAGATCGAGACCATCCTGGCTAACACGGTGAAACCCAATCTCTACTAAAAATACAAAAAATTAGCCGGGCATGGTAGTGGGCGCCTGTAGTCCCAGATACTCGGGAGGCTGAGGCAGGAGAATGGTGTAACCCGGGAGGCAGAGCTTGCAGTGAGCTGAGATTGCGCCACTGCCCTCCAGCTTGGGTGACAAAGACTGTCTCAAAAAAAAAAAAAAAAAGGCCATGTAAAAGCAGAGTATGTCACCACTGAAGCTGCACATGAATGAAGAGGTGGGCAACTTCACAAGGAATAGACAGATACTGGATTTTTAGGCTTTTTCTACATTTAAGGTGTTGGGGAGTCAAGCACAGAAATTGCATCTTAGCTGGAATGAATGGGAAGTGGCCACAGCTGACAAAACTGTGTCTAGAGGCCAAAAGTGCTGGCCCCTCGAAGAATGTTTCCACTTCATGTGTCCAGGCAGCAGCAGAGTAGACTGCAGCTGACAGTACAGACATAAACTTGAGTTAGGGAGACACTGTGATTTCAAACTTGAAGGGACTAAGTTACATAAAATTCTTATAAAATGGACAAAAGTTATTTTGTTTCAACCACAAGTATTTATTGATGGATCGAAGATACAATTTTAATGGAACAGTAAGGCACAATCTTGGATTAAAACACTTTGCTATACAGCCAAAAGGGGGGAAAGCTATAACCTTAGGAACTTTATGCCAATCAAGAAGCCTCTAAAGTACCTCTCTAATAGATCAGTATCAGACATTCTTCCCTTTTACACTAATTCCTATATTACATCACTTGATCACAAAGTGTGACTGATACTCATAAAGAACGCCTCATTCATTTATATTTGAGCCATCCAGCCAGGCTACTCCCCTGTTCTCCACTCTTTTCCACCTTTTTGCAGTGGTATTTTTGTAGCAATCCCCTTCCTAAAGAATAACCTACACATCTTCAATAGTTTTCCAAAGCAAGAAAACAAGCAAGCAAGCAAGCAATGAGTCAGAGACAGTCAGCCAAGGGCAGATGTGTGGATAAATAGACTCATAGACACATACATTAGGATAGCAGCAGCCTGATACACTGAAGTCTACTGACTTTGGCAGAAAAGTTTGACTGTGGCTTGCTCAAAGACCTGTAATGCCACCTTAGGTTGTGCTACTAGTGCCAGACCTCTTGTGTTTAAGGGATTAGCAGTGGTCTATACAAGGAGCTAGGGAGCTAATGTAACCAGGCAGCTAATGATACAATAGTCAATGCTTTGGACATGTATTAGGAGCAGACTATGGCTTTCATCATTAACATTTGCCAAGTGTAAAATTCATAAAGAATTTTGTGACTGAGCATGGTGGCTCATGCCTGTAATCCCAGCACTTTGGGAGGCTGAGGTCAGAGAATCACCTGAGATCAGGAGTTCAAGACCAACCTGGTCAACATGGTGAAACTCCGTCTCTACTAAAAATGCAAAAATTGCCCAGGAATGGTGGCCATGTCTGTAAACCCAGCTACTTGGGAGGCTGAGGCGGGAGAATTGCTTGAACCCAGGAGGCAGAGGTTGCAGTGAGCCAAGATCACGCCACTGCACTCCAGCCTGGGCGACAGAGTGAGACTCCGTCTCAAAAAAAAAAAAAAAATTTGTGCAAAACTTCAAGACACTAAGGAAGCAATCTTTAAATATTTTGGACTGGGGCCAGGCGCGGTGGCTCACGCCTATAATCCCAGCACTTTGGGAGGCTGAGGCGGGTGGATCACGAGGTCAGGAGTTCAAGACCAGCCTGGCCAACATGATGAAACCCTGCCTCCACTAAATATACAAACAATTAGCCGGGCATGGTGGTGCGTGCCTGTAATCCCAGCTACTTGGGAGGCTGAGGCAGGAGAATCGCTTAAACCCAGGAGGCTGAGGTTGCAGTGAGTGGAGATCACACCATTGCACTCCAGCCTGGGCGACAGAGCAAGACTCTGTCTCAAAAAATATATAAATAAATAAATAAATTTGGAGTGGGATATTAGGCACTTCCATAACACTAATCTTTCTACTTGGAAATGTGAAGTGGAAAACATTGCAGTGCACATAACACTGAGGCATAAACCATGCTGTAAAGGTGTGAATGCATGAGGCTTTATAGGGTGCCCAGCCTCCTTGTTAATAAAAGCCATGAGAAAGTCCCTAGGCATATTGTCAGAGCAGCCATTCTGGTACTTACAGTGTCCCCAAACTAAGCAAACCTGTAAGCATACTGCTGTTTTTTTTTTTAACAGTCAACACTGCACTAACAAGAGGAGCCACATAGGTACAAAGTTGAGAATCAGAGGCCAGAGGTAGAGTGATGTGGGCAAGCAGCCTAGAAGACTTGACTCCATACCTCTCACCAAGGCCACCTTTCAAAAAGGGTATCTCCACCTAGCAGCCTTTGATGACAGAGCAGAGTGCAGAGGATGGTCTCATACTTTGAGAGAAATGTTGGTTACTAAAAAGCTCCTGGAGAGGCAACATCCCAGAGGCCCATTTAATAATGAAGGTAAATAAAAACTGCCAGACCCCTGAACTATCCTGCCAAGTCAGAAATACATATATAGGGCATAGCTTGTGGTGCAAGTAGAACAGAGGAGATTTTGAGGCTTAATGAAAGGCCGAAAGACTGCCAGAGTTAAGTGAACAGTATGTTGGATGACACAGAAGTAGGAAGCAAAGAACATATAAAAAGGATAAAGCATGCTGGCAGACTCGCTGGAGGGAAGGCAGCAGGGCTACAGTCTACTACACCTGGTGAAAGAGCTTTGCTGGCTTGTTCTTGGCATGATTGCCTCTCTCACTTTCTCAGACTGGATGGATGTGTGGCATTCAGCGGCAGAAGAGGGAAGATATTTATAAATGAAGAACTAGTGAATGGATACTGAACAGAAATAGATAGGGTGTACCATTCTGTAATGCCCTGTTTATACACCAAAGGCAGGTTTGTGTTGACAGAACATATTTGGGGTTGTCATGCAACAGCAGTAGTACTTTGGGAGAAGGGGAATGAGGGGGTGGAGGTGGAGTTGGTGGAAGGAGGACTTTCAAGTTCCAGTTCTTAAATACTAGACTGCAAGGAACAGTTTGGTCTCCTTTAGTGAAGAAATCGGATGCTCATTTTCTGTTCTACATCCACCTTCTCCAAAACCTGAGGGAGAAAACCAGTAATAGTTACGAAGGTTATGAATGTCACAACACTCCCAAGCTCTTATCTGAGTAATGTTCTCCCCATTTCCTCCTGTGCAGTAAAACGTCACTTTTTCAAACAAAGAGGTAAGTGACCAACCTTAACAAATTCTGTGAAAGATATGGCACTGTCCCCATCCTGATCAGCCTCCTGAATGGTCCTGTCTGCGATGCTGCCCAGCTGCTCATCTGAGATATTTACTCCGACCATCATGCGTAGCACCTGGAAGACCAAGAGCCAGGAATTACAAGGGTCTTGGGAATCAGAGGGAGTCTTTATTGAGATTAAAAATAAAGCTATCACCATCCCCCTTTTCCTTTGATGCCCTCAAATACAGTCATGCACTACATAAGAATGTTTTGGTTAATGACCAACCACATATATAATGGTGGTGCTGTAAGATTATAATACTGTATTTTGATGAGAACACATGGACACAAAAAGGGAAACAACAGACACTGGGGCCTACCAGAGGGCGGAGTGGGAGGTGAGAAACACAAAAAATAACTATTGGGTACTAGGCTTAGTACCTGGGTGGCGAAATATTCTGTACATCAAACCCCCGTGACAAGAGTTGACCTATATAACTAACCTGCATGTGTAGCCCTAAACCTAAAAGTTAATTTTTTTTTTTGAGACGGTGTCTTGCTCTGTCACCCAGGCTGGAGTGCAGTGGCGCGATCTTGGCTCACTGCAAGCTCTGCCTCCTGGGTTCACGCCATTCTCCTGCCTCAGCCTCCCAAATAGCTGGCATTACAGGTGCCCGGCACCACGCCCGGCTAATTTTTTGTATTTTTAGTAGAGAAGGGGTTTCACTGTGTTAGCCAGGATGGTCTCAATCTCCTGACCTCGTGATTCGCCCACCTCGGCCTCCCAAAGTGCTGGGATTACAGGCGTGAGCCACCACGCCTAGCCAAAACAATCTTAAAAAAAGATTACAGTACCCTATTTTTACCGTACCTTTTCCATGTTTAGATATATATATATATATTTTTTTTTTTGAGACAGGATCTCACTCTGTTGCCCAAACTGGAGTGCTGGAGTGCGAATGTGACTCACTGCAGCCTCACCTCCCATGCTCAAGTGATCCTCTCACCTCAGCCTCCCAAGTAACTGGTACTACACTACAGGTGCATGCAACCATGCCTAATTTTTTTTTCCCCCTGAGGTGGAGTTGTACTCTTGTTGCCCAGGCTGGAATACAATGGCATGATCCCGGCTCACTGCAACCTCCACCTCCCAGGTTCAAGCGATTCTCCTGCCTCAGCCTCCCGAGTAGCTGGGATTACAGGGACGTGCCACTACACCCAGCTAAGTTTTGTATTTTTAGTAGAGACAGGGTTTCACCATATTGGCCAGGCTGGTCTCGAACTCCTGACCTCATGATTCGCCCGCCTCTGCTTCCCAAAGTGCTGAGACTACAGGTCTGAGCCACTGCACCCAGTCGCCTGGCTAATTTTTCAAAATTTTTTGTAGCAATGAGGTCTCACTGTGTTGCCCAGGCAGGCCTTCAACTCCTGGGCTCAAGCAATTCCCCCTCTGCCACCTCCCAAAGTGCTGAGATTATAGGCGTGAGCCACCATGCCCAGCCACAGATATGTTTAGATACACAAATACTTACCATTTTGTTACAACTGCATATAGTAGTCAGAACAGTAACATGCTGTATGGGTTTGTAGTCTAGGAACAATAGGCTACACCATATAGCCTAGGTGTATAGTAGGCTATATCATCTAGGTTCATGTAAGTACATTCTATGATGTTCCTACAACTACAAAATTGCCTAACATTGCATGTCTCAGAATGTATCCCCATCTTTACCATCATGTGACTAAATAACAGCTAAAAGGCTGAAACCCTTATCTTCTCATCTAGGCAATGATGTAAGCAGAATTTATCTAGGTGACTGGATAAGAAGACAAAGACTAAGGGAGAGTCCTTTGCATTTTGCCCTTCCTCATTCTTCTTACCCAGAACACAGATATGCTGTCTGGTGGCACTGCAGCCACCCTGGAGCCATGAGGTGAGTAATATGAGCTATGGATGCCAGGCCAAGAACACAGAATAAGCCTGGTTCCTGGACGTCAGTGAGGTACTGTACCAGCGTGGACAGTCTGTCCCAAACATTCTTGTTGCATGAGCCTAACTAGTTCCTTATTGGTTTAAATCAGTTTGGTGGGGCTTTCTGAAATCCCACCCAAAATGTAGTCCTCTTTGAGGTGCTGCACTAAGCCAGCTACTCCTAAAGTATGGCCCAAGAAAACAGAAAGATCCTCGAAGAGTTAAATGCTAAATCCCCTTCTGAGAAAAATAACAAGCACAATTAAAGGGTTGCGAGAATTGAGTAAGAGAATTTAACACTGTTTCACTAAATCTGTCTTAAACTTAACCAATCCTTGGGCCCCTGGGAATTCTATTAACATCTTTAGGGTGTGAACATACTTTGAAAATTGCTTCCTTAAACAAAATAAGCAACTTTAACAATTTGACTGTCAGGCAATATGGAAAGGCTGGTTCTTAGGCAATATAAAATGGGGGACAGGGTACCTTTCTGACTCCTTATATTATTACTGCAGTCAGCCACCTCTGTCTTCAGATGGTAAGAACTGAGCTTTTCCACAGGAAGGAAAGGGCCTCTAGTCCAGTGGTTCACAGGCTTCCTTTCCTCCACTCCTTTACTCCTTTACTTCCTTCTACAATCTCCTGAGATTTTTTTTTTTTTTTTTTTTTTTTGAGATGGAGTCTTGCTCTATTGCCAAGGCTGGAATGCAATGTCATGATCTCGGCTCACCGCAACCTCCACCTCCCAGGTTCAAGTGATTCTCCTGCCTCAGCCTCTCGAGTAGTTGGGATTACAGGTGCCCACCACCATGCCTGGCTAATTTTTGCATTTTTAGTAGAGATGGGGTTTTGCCACTTTGGTCAGGCTGGTCTCGAACTCCCGACCTCAGGTGATCTGCCTGCTTTGGCCTCCCAAAGTGCTGGGATTACAGGCGTGAGCCGCTGCGCCCAGCCTGTAATTTGCTTTTTAAAAATCGATTTCATGGGCCGGGCATGGTGGAGAAACCCTGTCTCTACTAAAAATACAAAATTAGCTGGGCGTGGTGGTACATACCAGTAATCCCAGCTACTAGGGAGGCTGATGCGTGATAATCACTTGAACCCGGGAGGCAGAGGTTGCAGTGAGCTGAAATTGCACCACTGCACTCCAGCCTGGGCAACAAGAGCAAAATTACAAGCCGGTGTGGTAGTGCGTGCCTATAGTTCCAGCTACTCAGGCGGCTGAGGCAGTAGGATGGTCTGAGCCCAGGAGTTCAAGGCGGCAGTGTGCTATGATCATGCCTGTGAATAGTCGCTGCATTCCAGACTAGGCAGCAGAGAGAGACACTATCAGTCAATCAATCAATCCATCAATAGTAAATTACATGATTTTCTAAAAAGAAAAAAAGCTGAAATACTGATTTGTATCCAAACTGATTATTTTTTAAATAAACCAATTGTTGAAAATTGGAAGTTGTGGCCGGGAGTGGTGGCTCATGACTGTAATCCCAGCACTTTGGGAGGCTGAGGTGGGCGGATCATCTGAGATCAGGAGTTCCAGACCAGCCCTGGCCAACATGGTGAAACCCCATCTCTACTACAAATACAAAAAATAGCTAGGCATGGTGGTGGGCACCTGTAATCCCAGCTACTTGCGAGGCTGAGGCAGAATCGCTCGAACCCAGAAGGTGGAGGTTGCAGTGAGCCGAGATTACGCCATTGCATTCCAGCCTGGGCGACAAAAAAAGAAAATTGGAAGTTGCACATTTTAGGTACAAATGTACACAAATAGAAGGATTAATAAAAAGAGACAACGCGCCGGGTGCAGTGGCTCATGCCTGTAATCCCAGGACTTTGGGAAGCCGAGGCAGGCAGATCACGAGGTCAGGAGTTTGAGACCAGCCTGAAGAACATGGTGAAACCCATCTCTACTAAGAATACAAAAATTAGCCGGGCATGGTAGTGCGCGCCTTGGCAGGAGAATTGCTTGAACCTGGGAGGAGGAGGTTGCAGTAAGCTGAGATCATGCCACTGCACTCTAGCCTGGGCAACAGAGCGAGACTCCATCTCAAAAAAAAAAAAAAAAAAAAAAAAGAGAGAATGCTAGCAAAGATAATCAATAGACAACTCATTTGCCATATTCCCTGTGTGTGGCCAAGCAGATGAATCCAACCTCAAACAGCAGCTTCTTCAGATCCCAGACCAAATATTTTGAGGTGTTTTATTTGTAGAATTATAAAACTGGATTATGTATGGGTATCTATAGTGTGAGTCGGAGGGTGAGGATAGAAGTGGTGGTGTCTTTAACATCATTTCACCAGGAGCAAATGACACATGTATGTAGTCCCAGCTACTGGTCCCACCTACTTGGAAGGCTAAGGCCAGAGAATCACTTGAGCCCAAGTGTTCAAGCCAGCCTGGGCAATGTAGTGAGACTGTCTCAAAAAAGAAAAAAACAAGGTCATCTCATCCGATCTGTTAATGAAGACATGACGGCCCAGAGGTGGCTTGACTCAGGTCCCAGGAAGCAGCGGCATGAGCTATCTGCCCAGGCCTCCATTCCCAGCCCAGTGCTCCCTCCGCCTGTCCATGCTGCCACTTATTGTTCCAGTCAAAGTTCTTCAGGCCAGGTGCGGTGGCTCATGCCTGTAATCCCAGCACTTTAGGAGGCTGAAGTGGGCTGATCATAAGGTCAGGAATTTAAGACCAGACTGGCCAACATGGTGAAACTCTGTCTCTACTAAAAATACAAAAGATAAGGCCGGGCGCGGTGGCTCAAGCCTGTAATCCCAGCACTTTGGGAGGCCGAGACGGGCGGATCACAAGGTCAGCAGATCGAGACCAGCCTGACTAACACGGTGAAACCCCGTCTCTACTAAAAAAATACAAAAAACTAGCCGGGCGAGGTGGTGGGCGCCTGTAGTCCCAGCTACTCGGGAGGCTGAGGCAGGAGAATGGCGTAGACCCGGGAAGCGGAGCTTGCAGTGAGCTGAGATCTGGCCACTGCACTCCAGCCTGGGTGACAGAGCAAGACTCGTCTCAAAAAAAAAAAAAAAAAAAAAAAAAAAATACAAAAGATAGTCAGGCGTGGTGGTAGGTGCCTATAGTCCCAGCGACTCGGGAGGCTGAGGCAAGAGAATCGCTTGAACCCAGGAGGTGGAGGTTGCAGTGAGCTGAGATCACACCACTGCACTCCAGCCTGGGTGACAGGGCAAGACTCTGTCTCAAAAAAATTTAAAAAAGAAGTTTAATAGTGAATTATTATTATTATTAAGACAGAGTTTTGCTCTGTTGCCAAGGCTGGAGAGCAGTGGCCCGATCTCGGCTCACTGCAACCTCCTCCTCCTAGGTTCAAATGATTCTCCTACTTCAGCCTCCCGAGTAGCTGGAATTACAGTGGTGAAACACCGCATGCAGCCTACTGTTATTTTTAATGTTTGGTGAAGGTTTTTATATATACGCTTTATTGATTTAAGAAAGGTTCCCTCTACTTCTGGTTTTCTAAGACTTTTTTTTTTTTTTAATCATGAATGGATGGTGAGGCCAGGCAAGCTGGCTCACACACTTTGGAAGGCCGAGGCAGGTGGATCACTTGAAGTCAGGAGATCGAGACCACCCTGGACCAACATGGTGAAACCCCATCTCTACTAAAAATACAAAATTAGCAGCGCATAGTGGTGCGTGCCTATAATCCCAGCTGCATGGGAGGCTGAGTCAGGAGAATTGCTTGAACCTGGGAGGCGGATGTTGCACTGAGCTAAGATCGTGCCACTGCTCTCCAGCCCGGGTGACAGAGCGAAACGCCATCTCAAAATAAATAAATAAATAAATAAATAAGTAAATAAAATAAAATAAATGGATGATGATTTTATCCATTACATTTTTCTATGGAAAAGACCACTCAATTTTTCTTCTTTAAAGTGTTGGTGTGGGTAAAATACATTGGTTGATTTTCTAATGTTAAACTGACTTTGAATTTCTAGTACAATTGCACCTTGGCTATAATATATCATAATATATCCTTGGATATAACATATATATTATATTATATATTGCTGGATTCAGTGTGTTAATATTTTGTTTGGGATTTTTACAACTATTTGCGTAAAAGAGATTGAGCTATAACTTTCTTTTCTTTTTTTTTGAGACAGAGTCTTGCTCTGTCACCCAGGTTGGAGTGCAGTGGCACAATCTCGGCTTACTGCAAGCTCTGCCTCCTGGGTTCATGCTATTCTTCTGCCTCAGCCTCCTGAGTAACTGGGACTATAGGAACCCGCCACAATGCCCGGCTAATTTTTTGTATTTTTAGTAGAGATGGGGGAGATGGGGTTTCACCATGTTAGCCAGGATGGTCTCAATCTCCTGACCTTGTGATCCACCTGCCTCGGCCTCCCAAAGTGCTCAGATTACAGGCATGAGCCACCATGCCCGGCCCCTAATTTTCGTTTCTTATACTGTCTTTTATAAGATTGTCAGGTGTGGCCGGGTACGCCTGTAATCCCAGCACTTTGGGAGGCTGAGGTGGGTGGACTGCTTGAGCCCAAGAGTTCAAGACCAGCCTGGCCAACGTGGCGAAACCTCATCTCTACTAAAAACACAAAAATTAGCCAGGCATGGTGGAGCATGTCTGTAATCCCAGTTACTCAGGAGGCTAAGGCACGAGAATCGCTTGAACCTGGGTGGCGGAGGTTGCAGTAAACTGAGATGGTGACATTGCACTCCAGCCCAGGCAACGAAGTGAGACTCTGTCTCAAAAAAAAAAAAAAAAAAAAAATGATTGTCAGGCAAAAGTTATGCTAGCCTCATAAAATGAGTTGGGGAGCAGAGTATCTTTATTAAAGTATAAATAATATACAATAAAATGTACATATTTAAAATGGACAGTTGGGGCCAGGCATGATGGTTCATGCTTGTACTCCCAGCATTTTGGGAGGCTGAGGTGGATTACTTGAGGTCAGGAGTTCGAGACCAGCCTGGCCAATATGATGAAACCCTGTCTCTACTAAAAATACAAAAAAAAAAAAAAAGTAATATGTACAATTGGATAAGGTTTAACATATGTACCCGCCCATGGCACCGTCCTCACAATCAAGATAATAACCTCCAAAAGTTCAACCAATACTTTCACAGGAATCATATTAAGAAAACATGGGCCAGGCGTGGTGGCTCACACCTGTAATCCCAGCACTTTGAGAGGCCGAGGCGGGTGGATCACCTGAGGTCAGATCTGGGTCAGAGAATAAACACATGCAACTACAGAGTGACTGCCACTGTCTTTTTTCTTCAGAACTCAGAAAACCATATGTAGCAACTTTCAAGAAAATAAACTCTTCTCGCTGAAGAAATTCCCAACTCAAAAGCAAGGGACGCTGCTAACACTGACCTGCAGACTGTTTTGTTTTTTGCTCATAGAAATGTAAGAATACGTTGGGTTGCTCCTGAATCTGCCCTGAGTAATTTCATCCTGGGATGAAATGCCAGTCACTGCTAGGAGGAAAACAGGGAATCATCCCTTGAAGCAACAAAGAACAGTGGGCAGTTGGCTCAGGGTACACCAGCACAGCAGCAGCTCCTTGACTCTTAGTCAACCCTAAGGACAGACTAAATAACTGCATTTAACTAAGTATCATCAGAATTACCTGGCTGCCAATAATCTGATTTGGCAATAAATGAATTACCTGATGTAAACCATGTTGTATATTTTAACTCTCAGTCAGTACCTAAAAGCCATTTAGTTAGCTTTTATTTATTTACTTTTTTTTTTTTTTGAGATGGAGTTGGAGTTTCGCTCTTGTCGCTCAGGCTGGAGTGCAGTGGCACAATCGCGGCTCACAGCAACCTCCGCCTCCTGGGTTCAAGCGATTCTACTGCCTCAGCCTTCCGAGTAGCTGAGATCACAGGCACCCACCACCATGGACAGCTACTTTTTGTGGGGAAAAGAAAGATCAGACTGTTACCGTGTCTATATAGAAAGAAGTAGACATAAGAGACTCCATTTTGTCCTGTATTTGAGATGCTGTTAATCTGTGACCCTACCCCCAACCTTGTCCTTGCAAGAGACATGTGCTGTGGTGACTCAAAGTTTAACGGATTTTGGGCTGTGCAGGGTGTGCTTTGTTAAACAAGTGCCTGAAGGCAGTATGCTTGTGAAAAGTCATCACCATTCTCTTAATCTCAAGTACCCAGGGGCACATACACTGCCAAAGGTCACAGGGACCTCTGCCCAGGAAAGCTAGGTATTGTCCAAGGTTTCTCCCCATGTGATAGTCTGAAATATGGCCTCGTGGTAAGGGAAAGACCTGATCGTCCGTCCCCCAGCCTGACACCCGTGAAGGGTCTGTGCTGAGGAGGATTAGTATAAGAGGAAAGAAGGCCTCTTGGCAGCTGAGATAGAGAAAAGCATCTGTCTCCTGCCTGTCCTTGGGCAATGGAACATCTCGGTGTTAAAACTCGATTGTATGTTCCCTTTACTGAAAAAGGAGAAAACCGCCTTAGGGCGAAAGGTGGGACTTGTTAGCACAATGCTGCTCTTTATGCACTAAAAAGGTTTATGGAGAGGTTTGCATATGAATATCAAGGCACAGCACTTTTCCTTAAACTTATTCACGTCTTACTGCTGACCTTCTCCCTATGATGATCCTATTATCCTGCCACTTCCCTTTTTCTAAGATGGTAAAGATAATGAGTGGGTCCTCTGTATGCTGAGCACCGGTCCCCGGGGCCCACTTTTTCTTTCTCTATACTTTGTCTCTGTGTCTCATTTCTTTTCTCAAGTCCCACCTAACAAGAAACGCCCACAGGTGTGGAGGGGCAGGCCACCCCTTCACTTTTTGTATTTCTAGTAGAGACGGGTTTTTATCATGTTGGCCAGGCTGCTCTTGAATTCCTGACCTCAGGCGATCCGCCCGCCTTGGCATCCCAAAGTGTTGGGATTACAGGCATGAGCCCCTATGCCCAGCCTAGTTAGCTTTTAGATAGTGGAGACATCTGTCTATGAAAACATAATAGGCCATTTCAGGTTTTCCCAGGTCATCTCCTTTGCCTTATAACCAGGACAAGACTCTGCACAGAGCAGGTATTAAATAAGCTCTTACTAAAGAACAGGTCCTGCCCACAATAATAAGCAGGCAGAGTCCAAGCACAAGTTCTCCAGGAGCTCCCCGACATACCTGTAACAGCTCGTCACGGGAGATCTTTTCATCTTTATCCAAATCATACAGTCGAAAAGCAACTGTAAGGGAAAAACATAAAGTTAGTCAAAATTCTGTAGTGTGATGCCCCTTCTCAAGGCACTAAATATATAAGACACTAGACAAAACTGACAGCCAATTAATCAATTTTCCAAGAACAACTGCCATTACTTATAGGGCATTTAAAAAGTTGTAACACTGAAGAATTGAGAATTGATGAGTTCTTAGGTTAAATGAAGTATGCTCCCTCTTCCAACAAATCAGAAAACTTCATAAAAAGAAAGCCAAATGTCCTTTTTCTTAACCTAGAATGTTAAACAGCCCCCCAAAACACCCCTTACGTGGTTCTGTAAGTTAGGTCACCTCACACAAACATCAATTCTACCAGGTACCACTCAGGGAGAACCAACAACAGGCACCACACAGGCACCATGAGAGCTGCCCACACAAAGCACTGCTTTGGGAAAGGAGCCTCCTGGGCAAAACTGTCTCGAATTTCAAGTAATTCTCTACCACTGGGGAGTCCTGCAGGTAAAGAAATTGAGTTTCAAGTAAATATGATGGCTCAGATGGTCTCCTGGCCTTATCATGTTTCTTTAAGCCTTCTAGAAACTAGGATATAGGAGAACTTTGCTTGAGTCCATGAGATAGAAATCAGAAAAGCAAAGTCATTAGATTTCTGCCACTGTTGCTGAAGCGCTACCAACAGAATAGGGTGTTATCTCTGGGTGATTTTATAGGTGTGGTGACAAATCGCCAGCCTGAGGACGTGAATGTCTTGTCCCACAACTGAATTTAGTGTGGTTTTTAGGTTTTGAATCACTTCAAGAATGCCACTAAGATTGTGGGTCTTAAACAGAGTGCTGCAAACCCTAAAAGTCCCAAATCCACTGCTCTAGAGCTATTAAGATCCACGGATTTAGACTCTGTCCTTAAGAACTCACTATCTAGTACAGGAGAACAACATACACGACTCTCTCAAATACATCCTACTTACATCCTAAGCACTACAACATATCCAAACTGTTGGGGGAACAAAGTGTATGGCAGACGTGGCTTTCTGGTGGAGCTGGGGAAACATCAAGGTGCGGTAACATTTGAACAAGGCCTTGAAAGACAAACAGAAATGTGCCAAGGGGTGGCCATTCCAGGCAGAGCTATTATTAGGCACAAAGGCGTAAGAACATGGATTAATATCTACAAGTGTAAGTATCATTCCCCTCCAAAATAAAAGGGTGAGTCCACTGAAAGATGACATGAAAGTAATTTTAAAATCTAATTTACTCCTTGTAAGGTATGTATCAGAATTCCAGAGAAAGGAAGTAGCTAGGAGAGACTTCTGATATATATTTTTTTTCTGTTCTGTTTAATGTGGTTGATTAATTTTAATTAATTTATTTTTTTCAGACAGGGTCCTGCTCTGTCTCCCAGGCTGGGTGCGGCAGCACAATCATGACTCACTGCAGCCTCCACCTCCCAGGTTCAAAGGATCCTCTCACCTCAGCCTCCAGAGTAGTGGGAACCAGACACCACGCCTGGCTAATTTTTAAAAATTTTTGTAGAGCTAGGGTATCACTATGTTGCCCAGGCTGGTGAAAGGTACAAGGTCTTTGTCTAGATAAATCGATTTTTTTTTTAGATGGAGTCTTGCTCTTTTGCCCAGGCTGGAGTGCAGTGGCACGATCTTGGTTCACTGCAACTTCCGCCTCCCAGGTTCAAGCAATTCTCCTGCCTCAGCCTCCCGAGGAGCTGGGATTACAGGCACGTGCCACCACGCCCGGCTAATTTTTGTATTTTTAGTAGAGATGGAGTTTCACCATGTTGGCCAGGATCGTCTCGATCTCTTGACCTTGTGATCCACCTGCCTCAGTCTCTCAAAGTCCTGGGATTACAGGCGTGAGCCACCACACCCGGACAGCTGGTCTTGAACACCTGGGCTCAAGCAATCCTCCTGCCTCAGTCTCCCAAAGTGCTAGGATTATAGCAGTGAGCCACTGTGCCGGGAACTTTAGCTCAAATTTCAACTCCTCAAAGAGGTTTTCACCGACCACTCTTTCTAAAGTAGTGACATCTCCCCATGCCTTTCTCATCTCATATATTCACTTCCTTCACAGACCTTGCCACAATAAATCTTGTTTATTCACCCATCTTCTCTATAGTCTGTCTCTCTTATTAGATCGTAAGTTCTAAGAAAACAAGGGCCTTACCTGATTTATTCATCACTGTCTCCTGGGCCTAAAATAGTACCTGGCATGTAGTAGGTGCTCAAACATTTGCTTAATGAAAAACCAAAAGAATGATCTCAGTCAAACCTTTACCTTCCTTTATTTTATTTTATTTTATTTTATTTTATTTTTTTTTTTTTTTTGAGACGGAGTCTCGCTCTGCCCCCCAGGCTGGAGTGCAGTGGCCGGATCTCAGCTCACTGCAAGCTCCGCCTCCCGGGTTCACGCCATTCTCCTGCCTCAGCCTCCCGAGTAGCTGGGACTACAGGCGCCCGCCACCTCGCCCGGCTAGTTTTTTTTTGTATTTTTTAGTAGAGACGGGTTTCACTGTGTTAGCCAGGATGGTCTCGATCTCCTGACCTCATGATCCGCCCGTCTCGGCCTCCCAAAGTGCTGAGATTACAGGCTTGAGCCACCGCGCCCGGCCTATTTTATTTTATTTTTTTAAGAGATAGGGTCTCAACTCTTGTCGCCTAGGCTGGAGTGCAGTGGTGCAATCATGGCTCACTGCAGCCCCAAACTTCTGGGCTCAAGTGATCTTCCTGCCTCAGCCTACTGAGTAGCTAGGAATACAGGTGTGTGCCACCATGCCCAGCTCAATTTTTTTTTTTTTTTTTTTTTTTTGGTAGATACTGGGTCTCATTCTGTTGCCCTGGCTACAAACCTTTACCTTTACTTCAATCAACGCTATTGCTGCTTCTTTTTTTTTTTTCTTTTTGGGAGACGGAGTCTTGCTCTGTCGCCCAGGCTGGAGTGCAGTGGCATGATCTCGGCTCACTGAAACCTCTGCCTTCTGGGTTCATGCGATTTCCCTGTCTTAACCTCCTGAGTAGCTGGGACTACAGGTAGGTGCCACCATGCCCAGCTAATTTTTGTATTTTTAGTAGAGGACAGGGTTTCACCATGTTAGCCAGGCTGGTCTCAAACTCCTGACCTCAGGCAATCCGCCCACCTTGTCCTCCCAAAGTGTTGGGATTACACGCATGAGCCACCATGCCAGGCTGCTGCTTTTTTTTTTTTTTTTATTGTGGTAAAATATACACAAAATTTCCGGCTGCTTCTTTTTTTTTTTTTTTTTTTTATTGTGGTAAAATATACATAAAATTTATCAGTTAAACCTTTTCTACAGGTACAGTTCGGTGGCATTAAGTACTTTCACACTGCTGTGCAAGCATCACCACCATCCATCTCCCCATAACTTCTGCATCTTCACCAGCAGAAAACGTACCCTTTTAACAATAACTCCACCACCATCACCACCATCCATCTCCCCACAACTTCTGCATCTTCACCAGCAGAAAATGTACCCTTTTAACAATAACTCCACCACCATCACCACCATCCATCTCCCCATAACTTCTGCATCTTCACCAGCAGAAAACGTACCCTTTTAACAATAACTCCACCACCATCACCACCATCCATCTCCCCATAACTTCTGCATCTTCACCAGCAGAAAATGTACCCTTTTAACAATAACTCCACTACCATCACCACCACCATCCCCCAGCCCTGGGCAACCACTGTTCTACTTTGTGTCTCTACAAATTTGACCACTCTGGAAACCTCACATAAGAGGAATCATACAATATTTGTCCTTTATATCCACTTTATTTCACTCAGCAAAATGTCTTCAAGATTCATCCATGTTGTACCATGTGCCGGAATTTCCTTTTTTTTTTTGAGATGGAGTCTTGCTCTGTCACCCAGGTTAGAGTGCAGTGGTGTGATCTCAGCTCACTGCAACTTCTGCCTCCCGGGTTCAAGCAATTCTCCTGCCTCAGTCTCCCGAGTAGCTAGGATTACACACATCCACCACCGCGCCAGGCTCATTTTTGTATTTTTAGTAGAGATGGGATTTCACCATATTGGCCAGGCTAGTCTCGAACTCCTGATCGCATGATCCAACCGCCTCGGCCTCCCAAAGTGTTGGGATTAAAGGCGTGAGCCACCGAGCCTGGCCTCAGAATTTTCTATTTTAATACAGACTAATATTCCATTGTATGTGTACCCAACAATTTATTTATCCATTGATCTGTCGATGGATACTAGGATTGCTTCTACCTTTTGGATTCTATGAATAATGCTGCTATTTCTTCCTGGCTACTCTCCCAAGCTCTACTCCACCTATACTCCTCAACACTCAAAAAAAATATTCTAATGTAGACTCTTTACTTTCCACATCATTATGTTTTATAAAAACTTAAACCATTTAAGAAGACAATTAGAATGTGGGAAGGAAAACCTGTAGACCTCTAGAATTCTCTCTTACTTACCATGCCCTGGGCATTCTAAGGTGAATTATACTTTTCACTTTTTTTTTAACACTATCCACCTGTACATAGGGCTGTATCTTTTACACAAAGCATTATTATTATTATTATTATTATTATTATTTGAGATGGAGTTTCGCTCTTATTGCCCAGTCTGGAGAGCAATAGCGTGATCTTGGCTCACTATAACATCTGCCTCCCAGGTTCAAGCAATTCTCCTGCCTCAGCCTCCTGAGTAGCTGGGATTACAGGCATGCGCCACCATGCCTGGCTAATTTTGTATTTTTAGAAGAGACATGGTTTCACCACGTTGGTCAGGCTGGTCTCGAACTCCTGACCTCAGGTGATCCACCCGCCTCAGCCTCCCAAAGTGCTGGGATTACAGGCATGAGCCACTGCGCCTGGCCTACACAAAGCATTATAACGTCACCAGTTCAAAGAGGAAAGCAATAAGGTACCACTTCTAGGAGACAAACAGAAGAGCAGAGTGGCACTGTATGTATGTGGGCCTGTGCCTACATGGGTATAGTTGAGCCTTGCTGATTGTGATTAAAATTCTCTCACTGTGGCATAAAAAAGAAATAGGACAAAGTGTGTTCTCAGAGTTCCTGAAGACAGTATTCTATGCAAAGGATAACCCATAATAAAATTTGGTTCCACTCCTCTGTAAACCCACATTTCTTTTTTTTTTTTTGGAGATGGAGTCTTGCTCTGTTGCCCAGGCTGGACAGCGGTGGTGCAATCTCGGCTCACTGCAACCTCCACCCCCCAGGATCAAACCATTCTCCTGTCTCAGCCTCCCGAGTAACTGGGATTACAGGCACCCGCCACCACGCCCAGCTAATTTTTTATATTTTTAGTAGAGACAGGGTTTCACCATGTTGCCCAGACTGGTCTTGAATTCCTGATCTCAAGTGATCCACCCGCCTTGGCCTCCCAAAGTGCTGGGATTACAGGCATGAGCCATCACGCCTGGCCTGTGAATTCCTGATCTCAAGTGATCCACCCGCCTTGGCCTCCCAAAGTGCTGGGATTACAGGCATGAGCCATCACGCCTGGCCTGTAAACTCACATTTCTAAGTAACACATACCTTTTCTTTTTTTTTTTTTGAGACAGAGTCTTGCTCTATCACCCAGGCAGGAGTGCAATGGCACGATCTCGGCTTACCGCAGCCTCTGCCTCCTGTTTTCAAGCAATTCTCCCGCCTCAGCCTCCTGAGTAGCTGGGATTACAGGCACCCGTCATTATGCCTGGCTAATTTTTTTTTGTATTTTTGTAGAAATGGGGTTTCACTATGTTGGCCAGGCTTGTCTCGAACTCCTGACTCAGGTGATCCGCCTGCCTCAGCCTCCCAAAGTGCTGGGATTACAGGAGTGAGCCACCGCACCCAGCCCACATCCCCTTTCTCTAAGGTAAATGTGTCTCAGTGGCAAATGTGTTGCTAGATATATGACATTCAATTGCTCTCAGTCTACAATAAGAGGCACCATCCTACAGCTTATATAGCCCTGTGGGAACTTCAAAGAGAAGCAACACATTTAGATAGAAACTGAGGACTTCTTGGACTCTTCTAGTCTTTTCTTTGGCCTTAGAATTAGCTTTGGTTTTACTGGTCTAATTACATCAATGTGATCCCTACACCTAGACTGCAACAGAATTCTAATTAATTTTTAGTTTCCTATAAAAGTTAATCCTACAGCCAAGACTAAAGTATGTAATGAAAAAAACAGGCTGGGTATGGAGGCTCATGCCTGTAATCCCAGCACTTCAGGAGGCCAAGGTGGGATGATTGCTCGTGTCCAAGATTTCGAGACCAGTCTGGACAACATAGTGAGACCCTATCCCTAGAAAAAATTAGAAAATAAAAAATTAGCTGGGTGTAGGGCACACGCCTGTGGTCCTAGCAACTTGAGAGGCTGAGGCAAAAGGATCACTTGAGCCAGGAAAGTCAAGGCCATAGTGAACCGTGATCACACCACTGCACTCAGCCTGGGTGACAGAGTGAGACCCTATCTCAAAAAATTAAGCAAAAACAAAATAAAACCAAGCATAACCTGCATAGCACTTTGTTATTATTCTATCTCATCCTGAAGTTTGCCATTTCTGTGGCATTCCAACCTTCTTCCCTAGCAGAACCCCAACCACAGCATCAGGAGGGGAATCTCATTAGCCTAATCTCCTCGGCACTCAGCACTCTCCTGATCTAAACTGACTTATCAAAGTGAGGGGAAGGACTTACATTCCATGCTTGGGAGGAGTGTTGCTCAATTTCAGTCTCGATCTCTCTCTATATATATCTCTCTTCCTCTACTGCCAGATGTGAACAAGAAAAAAAAAAGCCCTGTTAACAACTGAGAGCTATCATGTGACCATAATACCTTAGGATAAAACAGACTATGAGGATGGCAGAGTAAAGAGAAGAATCCCTAGTGCTTGAAACAGAATCAACCCTCCTGCTGGCCTAACCTGACTTGTAAAGTGAGCTAATATATTTCCTTATTGTTTAAGCCAGCTGAGTCAGCTAAAGGCATCCTAAGACACCAAGTAACGCCCAAATCCAGTACTGCTATTTGGAAGATTTTGTTTTGTTTTCTTTTCTTTGTTGAGACAGAGTTTCTGTCACCTGGCTTGAAGTGCAGTGGTGCCATCATGGTTCACTGCAGTCTCGACCTCTCAGGCTCAAGCAATTCTCCCACCTCAGCCTCCCAAGTACCTGGGACCACAGGTGCATGCCACCACACCTGGCTAATTTTTGTATTTTTATTAGAGACAGTGTTTCACCATGTTGCCCAGGCTGGTCTCAAACTCCTGGGCTCAAGTGATCCACCTACCTTGGCCTCCCAAAGTGCTGGGATTACAGGCATGAGTCACTGCACTCAGCCTTCAGTCAGTTTTAATACAACTGCAATTTCAACTTGTATTGAATAAAAAGAGAACTTTAATTTCAATTTCCTGGAGAAGTGTTGTAAGGAATTGGGCAATATTATACACGAACCAGTAAGGGCAGAAGGGAAGGCAAACAAGTATTAAAGGAAAAGGGGCATGAGACATGGGTATAAAAATTAAATCTTGCACTATATCCAGCTGTCCCCCACTACTTAAGTCACATCCAGTGTCTATCAAATTCTAAGATGAGTTGAGGATTGTCATTATTCCTTAAAGGTGGGGCCTGGATCTTGTTCACTATTGCCACGCTAGCACTTAACACAGTGCCTGGCACACCTCCACACCTACTCATTGAGTAGGTGCTCAATGAATTACAATGATACCAGGTAACACTTATTAAGTACCTAGTATATGCCAGGCACTATTTGAAGCACTTGACATTTATTAACTCATTTAATCCTCACAACAATCCAATGCGGAACCCCTTAGAATCCTATTTTACAGAAGAGAAAAGTGAAGCCCAAAGAGGTTAAGTACCTTGCCCAAAGTCACACAGCCAAAAAAGAGTAGACTAGTATTTAATCTTGGCCAGTTTAGCTCCAGAGTCTGAGGTCTTAACCAGTATGCTCTTGTAAATGCTTGTTCAAATAATGACTGAGTACATACATGACTTTTAAGAAATGAAAAGCAAGTATTTTAAGCCAGAAGACTTTAGCTCCTTACAGTGCAGTTTGTTGCTTCGGCTGTTGAGTGGTTCGGGTCCATTCACATCTTTGCTCTTTTCATTATCCTCAATGGGGCGGAAATGAGCCAAAGTTCGCATGAATCCACGGAAGTTTACCTGGTCCTCTCTGATTGTGAAATATACCAAACAGAACACCATGTCAATCACGGTGATTATTTCTTACAAATTAAATATACTGGCAAAAGCTTTAGCTACGGTAGCCTGAAAGTTCATTTAATGAGGTTTCTTTCCATGTGCACGGTACTTCGGGGCTCACAGTACCATATCATTTAAGCCTCACCCCAACCTTGTAAGGTAGGTGCTATTACTCCCACTACTACTCCCACTTGATAAATGATTTAACCAGACTTAGGTAACAGGACTTACCAGGGTTAGAGTTATCTATTGAATTTACTTGCATCTCTTTTCCAAAAAACGAATGTAGAGTAGTGCCAGCACCATACAAGAGAGCCAAAACTTGAACCCTTTGCTTTGAACTCTGTTAAGTCATTTCAACCCAGTGACTCCCCAGCCACTTCCCACATCTCCCCTGCAGTAATGTATACCAAGGGATATTTTAAAATTAAGGCACATTATGGAAAGGCTGCTTTTAAAATAAAGTTTATTTAATTTTTAATTTTTTTCTTATTTATTTATATATTTATTTATTTATTTATTTTGAGACAGAGTCTCGCTCTGTCGCCCAGGCTGGACTGCAGTGGCACTATCTCAGCTCACCTCTGCCTACCGGATTCAAGCAATTCTCCTGCCTTAGCCTCCCGAGTTAGCTGGGACTACAGGTGCATGCCAACATGCCTAGCCAATTTTTTTTTTCTTTTTTTTTTTTTTTGAGAAGGAGTTTCGCTCTTGTTGCCCAGGTTGGAATGCAATGGCACGATCTCAGCTCACTGCAACCTCCGCCTCCCTGGTTCAAGCAATTCTCCTACCTCAGCCTTGCGAGTAGCTGGGATTACAGGCATGTGTCACCACGTTTGGCTAATTTTGTATTTTTAGTAGAGACATGGTTTCTCCATGTTGGTCAGGCTAGTCTCGAACTCCCGACCTCAGGCGATCCGCCCACCTCGGCCTCTCAAAGTGCTGGGATTACAGGTGTGCGCCCGACCTAATTTTTTGTATTTTTAGTAGAGATGGGGTTTCACCATGTTAGCCAGGATAGTCTCGATCTCCTGATCTCGTGATCTTGGCCTCCCAAAGTACTAGGATTACAGGCGTCAGCCACCATGCCTGGCCAAGTTTATTTAATTATAAAAGCAAACATATCTTTGAAAATGTGGAAAAAAGAGAAGTAGATAGAAAAACACTGATCCAAGTTCTACCAATTACAACCATAGTTAATATAAATATATTTTCTGGCTGGGCACAGTGGCTCACGCCTGTAATCCTAACACTTTGGGAGGCTGAGGCAGGCAGATCACTTGAGGCCAGGAGTTGACACCAGCCTGGCCAACATGGTAAAACCCTGTCTCTACTAAAAATACAAAAAAATTAGCTGGGTGTGGTAGTGGGTGCCTGTAATCCCAGCTACTCGGGAGGGTGAGGCAGGAGAATCACTTGAAACTGGGAGGCGGAGGCCGCGGTGAGCCAAGATTGCACCACTGCACTCCAGCCTGGGTGACAGAGCAAGACTATGTCAAAAAAAAAAAAAAAGAAAGAAAAGGAAAGGAAAGGGAAAGAAAAAGGAAGGAAAAGGAAAAGAAAAGGAAGGGAGGGAAGGAGAGAGGGAGGGAGGGAGGGAAGGAGGGAGAGAGGGAGGGAGGGAGGGAGGGAGGGAGGGAGGGAGGGAAGGAAGGAAGGAAGGAAGGAAGGAAGGAAGGAAGGAAAGAAAGAGGGAATCAATCAACCAATCAATCAGTCAGCCAGGCGCCGTGGCTCATGCTTATACTCCCAGTTATTTGGGAGGCTGAGGTGGGAGAATCACTTGAACACAGGAGGCAGAGGTTGCGTGAGCCAAGACTGTGCCACTGTACTCCAGCCTGGGTGACGGTGCAAGACTCCCCCATATATATATGAATGCATTTTCTTCTAGTAACTTTTCTATGCTTTTTAGATAACTGTATTATGTAATTTAGTATCCTGCCTTCTTTTAACTTTTAAGCATTTCTCCAAACAGTATAAACACTTTGAAACATTTAAAACATATGCATAATTCTGTGGACACATTATGATTTTATTTTTCCCTCATAATTGGATATTTTTTCTCTAAATAATCTTTTAGGCCGGGCACAGTGGCTCACGTCTATAATCCCAGCACTCTGAGAGGCCACGGAGGGTGGATCACCTCAGGTCAGGAGTTCAAGACCAGCCTGGCCAACATGGTGAAACCCCGTCTCTACTAAAAATACAAGAATTAGCTGGGGCCTATAATCCCAACTACTTAAGAGCCTGAGGCACAAGAATTGCTTGAACCCCAGAGATGGAGGTTGCAATGAGTGCAATGAGCCGAGATCGCACCACTACACTCCAGCCTGGGTGACAGACGGAGATTCTGTCTCAAAAAAGAATGATTTTGCCGGGCATGGTGGCTCACGCCTGTAATTCCAGCACTTTGGGAGGCCAAGGCGGGTGGATCACAAGGTCAGGAGACCATCCTGACTAACACAGTGAAACCCCGCCTCTACTAAAAATACAAAAAATTAACTGGGCGTGGTGGTGGGCGCCTGTAGTCCCAGCTACTCGGGAGGCTGAGGCAGAAGAATGGCGTGAACCCAGGAGGCAGAGCTTGCAGTGAACCCAGATCACGCCACTGCACTCCAGCCTGGGCGACAGGGTGAGACTCCGTCTCAAAAAAAAAAAAAAAAAAAAAAAAATATTTGAAAGACCTAGACTTCTTGTGTATAAAGCCTTCTTGGTACTTAAGCTTAGAGAAAATCTTTTTATTGTGCCACAGGCTAATCAATTACCCTGTAAGAAATAATTCTCAAAATTTGAATGAAGAATGTTCTTTAATATTAAAAAAGAATGCCTCATGTGACATAATATCATTTATTTATCTAAGGCAGATGGCCTGGTTCCTGTGGTTACCTAAAAAAAAACCCCACTCTGTAACCCACCAAACAGCTGAGGTATGTAGCGTCTCTTTTATGCTCTATAGACACTCAGTTTATAAGGCCTTCTAAAGGCAGAGTTCAAAGGCTAGCCTGTGAGCCATCTGCACTCAAAAGAATGACCTTGGCTGGGCGCGGTGGCTCATGCCTGTAATCCTAGCACTTTGGGAGGCCGAGGCAGGCGGATCACCTGAGGTCAAGAGTTTGAGACCAGCCTGGACAACATGGTGAAACTTCGTCTCTACTGAGCCGGGCGTGGTGGCGTGCACCTGTAGTCCCAGCTACTTGGTGAGGCTGAGGCAGAAGAATCGCTTGAACCCAGGAGGCAGAGGTTGCAGTGAGCCAAGATTACGCCACTGCACGCCAGCCTGGGCGATAGAGGGAGACTCCGTCTCAAAAAAACAAACAAAACAAAACAAAGCAAAAAAAAGAATGATCTTTTGGTTCTTCAATGTATCTATACTGCTGATGGACCAGGATCTGGTAAAAAATGTCAGATCTGAGGAATCAAGTAACGTGGAGTAAAATTTAAATCATATGCTAGAAAAAACACATTAATGATTATTGCTAGCATAAAGTTTCTGGGTAAAAGGGAATTAAATAAACATAGTCCACTTTCAAATCTCACTCTTAAAAAAAAAAAAGAGCCCCCATGTGCATATGCCTAGGGAAGAAAGAAAAACCCAGAAGCCAAATACATCTATCTGATTAGCGCAAGAAGCAGTCACAGCTTGCTAAGAGCTAAGCAGTGCAGCCCAGTACAGCCCTCCACTTCCTCATATGCACTCTGTCCCATTTCCTTAGCAGTAGATTTGTGGACAGAATGACAGGTGATACTGTAGTCACAGAAAATGTAGTTTAGCTTTACAAAACAGTTTCCCACAAGCTGCTGCTTCAAGTAATCAATGGTGACTAAAGAATTCTGAAAAAAAGTTGGCAAAGTGACTCTCCTGGGTTTACTTTTCATTGCAAAAGATTTGGATACAAAGCATAGCTGTGAAAGTTATCTCTGGATAGGGTTCAATGCTTTGCAGGGGTAAAAGAGGAAGCAAAAAAAGGGAAGAATTCAGCATACAAACCACACCTGAAACAAACAGGGCAGTTCAAGGAGAGAGAAAGCGAAAAAATGAAGGAGGGCGTACGATTCCTTGTAGTCAACGTGATTTGATTCCCGTCTTTACATGAACTAACTGCTCGACCTCATTCGCCTTCTGACTTTCACTCACATTTACTGAATGCCCAACCCTCTCAACTAGCAAATTCCTTTGCTCTCAATTTAGAGTTCTAAAATTTCCTCCAGGCATTTTATCTGACAGTGTCCTCATTGACAGTCTCATTAAAAACTGGCACCCATATAATATTTTGAAGTCCTGTGGGTCATAGACTATCCATATGAACTAGGAATAGATTGTTTAGGAAATTACTTAAAACAAGCTTATATGTAAGCTTTATTGATGAAAAGGTACCTAATCGAATCAGTAAATATTTACTCACTACTTTGAAAGCAGCGTATTAGGTAGTGAAGCATATCAAAAGACTAGTTTCACACTAGAAAACCCCATATTAAGAACAATCTACTTTACAAAGTGTGTGTGTTATGAGAACTATATGTTTATTCAGTATCACAAAAGTAAAATAAAGGCTGGGGAAATGTTCCAGATTAAAGGAGGCTAAAGAGACATGACAACTGACCCAGACTAGATCCTGTACCGGAGGTGGGGAAGTGCTAGAAAACAGATTATTAGATAACAAAATTGGAATATGAATATAAATTAGAATAAACTAGATAATATGTTAATACAACAGAGTAATAGATTAGATAAGAGGATTGTATCAATGTAAGTTTACTGAAGTAGAAACCATACTATGGATATGTAAAAGAATGTACCTATTCTTAGCAAACACACACTGGTGCATTCAGAGGTAAAGCCTCATAACTATGCAACTTACCCTGAAATAGTTCAGAAATACAATTATGTGAACGTGCATACACAAAAAAATTACATAAGTATATATATGTGTATATACCTACATGTATATACGTGTATGTATGTATATACACGCACACATAGAGTATGTGTAGGTAGAAAGAGGGGGAAAGAGAGAGGGAAAAAGTGTCTGCAAGAGAGGGTCTGTAGAGAGCATGGGTACACAAGCTGCGCTGTTCAATATTGCAGTCACTTGTCACATCTGGTTATGTGCACTGGAAACATGGTCAGTCTGACCTGATATGTGTTTAAGTGTAAATTACACACTGGATTTCAAAAATCTATTATGAAAAAATGTAGGCTGGGCGTGGTGGCTCACGCCAGTAATCCCAGCACTTTGGGAGGCTGAGACAGGCTGATCACCTGAGGTCAGGAGCTCAAGACCAGCCTGGCCAACATGGTGAAACCCTGTCTCTACTAAAAATACAAAAATTAGCCGGGTATGGTGGCATGTGGATGTAATCTCAGCTACCTTGGAGGCTGAGGCTGGAGAATCGCTTGAACCTGGGAGGCGGAGGTTGCAGTGAGCCGAGATGGCACCACTGCACTCCAACGTGGGCACCGAGCAAGACTCTGTCTCAAAACAAAAACAAAACAAAACAAAAAAAGTAAAGTATCTCAGTTATTTTTAATATTGATTATATAATGAAATTGTATGTGTATATTGTTTGGGTGAGGGGGAAGGGACAAGATGGAGGAAGGTGAACAAGATGGAGCAGTCCCTGTTGTTTCCGGGTTCTTCATCACAGATTTTCCCGCACCCGGGAAAGAAACCAAATCAACTGAGCATGCGCAGAGTGACGTCAAGCCGGGGACACAGACATTCAAGAAGCCACTCCTACACACACGCCCCAAACTCCTCCCTCTCCAGCTCCCAGGCATAAAAGTCCACTGCTGGCAGGAGCCGTGTGACTTCTTCGGCCCGCATTCGGAGAACATCACCCGAGGGCACCGGCGCGACTTCCCTGGCCCCCCCACACCTGAGGACCAGAGAACCTCCCCCGAGAGTATGTGCATATTTGCAATAAAAGACTGCCACTTTCTTACGTACTTTGGCCTCATGTTTAATTACTTAGCTCTCCTAAATTAAGTTACATTAAATTAAATTAAAACATATATATACATATATATATATTTTTGAGACAGTCTCACTCTGTCGCCCAGGCTGGAGTGCAGCAGCATGATCTCGGCTCACTGCAAGCTCCGCCTCTCAGGTTCACGCCATTCTCCTGCCTCAGCCTCCTGAGTAGTTGGGACTACAGGCACCCGCCACCATGCCCAGCTAATTTTTTGTATTTTTAGTAGAGACGGGGTTTCACCATGTTAGCCAGGATGGTCTCAATCTCCTGACCTCGTGATCCACCTGCCTCGGCCTCCCAAAGTGCTGGCATTACAGGCATGAGCTACCACACCTGGCCTGAAATAATATTTTTAATATATTAAATAAAATATATATTACCAAAGTTAACTTATTTTTACTTTTTTTTTTTTTTTGAGACGTAGTCTTGCTCCGTCACCCAGGCTAGAGGGCAGTGGCACGATCTCAGCTCACTGCAAGCTCCGCCTCCCAGGTTCACGCTATTCTCCTGCCTCAGCCTCCTGAGTAGAGCTGGGACTACAGGCACCCACCACTACACCTGGCTAATTTTTTGTTTTTAGTAGAGACGGGGTTTCACCATGTTAGCCAGGATGGTCTCAATCTCCTGACCTTGTGATCTGCCCGCCTTGGCCTCCCAAAGTGCTGGGATTACAGGCGTGAGCCACCACGCCCGGCCAACTTTTTACTTTTTAAATGTGGTTACTAGAAAATGTACAATTACGTGTGTGGCTTGCATTATATTTTAATGGGTTGCTACTAAGAGAGCGAGCACACAAATGAGGCAAAATGTTAACAATATAACAATAGATGCATCAGGGCAATAGATATACAAGTATTCTTTGAATTACTTTTAACTTTTGCAACTTTCTTGTAAATCTGAAATTACTTCCAAATAAACATTTTTTAAAAGTCTAGTTTTACATCAATGATAAGCATAAAGACAGAATTTTGAAGATAGGCTCATATATCAATTTGAAGTTTAAAACACACAGGAGGGTAGAATAGAAGAGATATTCTAGAAATGACAAAATTAGAAATGCCCAATATAATCAGGGGGTATCACAGTCTGAGATGGCACAATCAATATCACTATTCCAGATTAGCAAATAATTTAGGTTGTGATAGCCTCAGGAAGGAAGTCCAACAACTGTACTGACTCACCCCTCTGGAAAGAAGGCATTGATGATCCGGTCCCCCAATGGGTTGATGGCAAGTTCTGGAATCCTCTGGAAATCTTCCCGGCTGCCAAGAGAATCACCTCGAGTTAGATAGAGATCATTGCCCTTAGCCTGAACTCCCTAAGTCAGGAGTGTAACCTAGCAAGAATATTACCTCCTGGAATTTACTTCTGTGGCAAATTATACCAAATAACTGCGAAGAATACCACTTTAATAGCTGCCAAGTGTTTCTTGCAACAACTCAGTAGTGGAAGGAGCCAGATTTGACTATGCCACATTCCAGTGAATTCAGCACACAGGTTACGTCAATAAGCCAACTGATGGACAAATACTAATCTGTCCCTTAGTAAATGATTCCTTGAACATTAGCACTTCGTACCTAGTTATTAAGTTTGGAAAGTGAACAGCAAATGGAAAGTATCAAATACTGCAGAACTTGAATATGGGGACAAACACTTAGAGGGGTCTCCATATCCTTGTTAAGATTTTTAGGCACTTACAAAATGCAAGGAATTCTTAGGTGCTATTTACATGCAAGGAAAGAATGTGACAACCAATTGATTCCTTGTTCTGACTCTGGCTTTTTCTCCATTTCCATTTTCTGTGGACTAGGACTACAGAAGTATTTAACCCTCAAACATGACATGAGCAGTCATCCTCACATGACCCAGGTGAGGTTATACCAAAGCAAATATTGTCAGCTACCATTCATTGCATACACATCATGTGCTGCTCTGTTTACATACATTATCTCATTTCTTCATGCCCACGTTTTATGTATACCCTTTTAGAGCTGAGGAAATTGAGAGTCAGGAAGATAAAGTAACTTACCCAAAGCCACACTACTCCTAAGTAGCAGAACTGTGATTTAAATCTAAGTCTGAGTCAAAGTATGTGTTATTTTTCTAAAAACCACATTTCTTTCCTATATTGAACTTTTTTTTGAGACATAGTCTTGCTCAGTCACCCAAGCTGGAATGCAACAGCACGGTCTTGGCTCGCTGCCACCTCCACTTCCCAGGTTCAAGCAATTTTCCTGCCTCAGTCTCCCAAGTAGCTGGGATTACAGGCACCTGCGATCACACCTGGCTAGTTTTTTGTACACTTAGTAGAGACGCAGTTTCACCATGTTGGCCAGGCTGGTCTTGAACTCCTGACCTCAGGTGATCTGCCAGCCTCGGCCTCCCAAAGTGCTGGGTGGGATTACAGGCGTGAGCCACAGTGCCCAGCCCTAATACTGAACCTTTTCAATGAAAGTTACTCTCCCCAAGATTTTTCTTTTTTTTTTTTTTGAGACGGAGTTTTGCTCTTGTTGCCCAGGCTGGAGTGCAGTGGCGCGATCTCTCCACTCACTGCAACCTCCGCCTCCTGGGTTCAAGCGATTCTACTGCTTCAGTCTCCCAAGTAGCTGGCATTACAGGCGGGCGCCACCACACCTGGGTAATTTTTGTATTTTTAGTAGAGGTGGGGTTTCACCATCTTGGCCAGGCTGGTCTTGAACTCCTGACCTCAGGTGATCCACCCGCCTCAGCCTCCCAAAGTCCTGGGATTATAAGTGTGAACCACCGCGCCCAGCCCCCAAGTTTTTCAATAAGTACTTTTTAAAAACTTCCTTTGATTATTTCCTGGGCCAAGAATACAAAGCTGTCTACAACTTACCTGTGCTGTAGTCTTCAAAAATATCAATGTCACGGAGGACAAAGAAAAGCAGAGGATTGTTCCAGATCAAGGGGGGCTAAAGAGACATACAACAAAACCCAACACATGATCCTGGACTAGGAAAACACCTGCTATAAAGGACATTACCGGGTAATACGTGAAAATGAAGCATGGACTATATAAAATATGGACTATTACATAACGGTACTGTTTCAAAATGTAACTTTCTTGAGTTCGATCTGAGAATGTCCTTTTTATAGGAAATAAACAGTGAAGTATGTGACAATTGGTGAATCTGGGTATCAGAGTAAAAGTTATCTTGTATTGTTCTTGTAACTTTTCTTCAAGTTTAAAATTATTTCCAGATAAAAAGTTAAAAAAAAATTATAAACTTGAATAGATTTTACTCCTGCCTTCAAGAAGTTTACTGGCAGAGAGATAAAATGTATATCTCCACCCTCTTTGTAATATATGCTAGCAAAGACAGAAGATAATAAAATACTCCTGCTGTACCCAGGAGACTTCACACTCTTTTCTTCTTGTGGTTTAACGTTTACATGGTGCTTAATTAATTCAGCAAGCTCATCTCCACCACATTTGGTGACACAGGTGGAAACTGACCTGGCGGACTGAACACAAAGCTCTGGAACAATCATCCTGGATTCTAGTCTTTTCTTGACCATTTAGGGTAATAATTTTATATCAATGAATAAACCAGAAGAAGTTGTTCATAAGATTGCTTAAGATGATGAAAGAGAAAATTACCGAGGTCCTGATTATTTAATTCAACAAACATGTACAAAGCTTTTATTACATAATTTGTTCTGTAATACAAAGTCTACACTATCATCAAAATGTACCTCCTCTTGTCTGACAGAGGTCAAGAAACAATAACTACTCCCTTTTAAAGTAAGACTAAGGCTGATTTGAATTGCATGGCCACATACCTCAGTTTAATGTCTAACAAGCTTAAGAAACTTTAGCTGAGAAGAGACAGTTTAAAAACCAAGTCTAGTACCAAGTGGTGATGCACAACCTAGCCTGAACTGCAGTCTCAATAAGGAAGTGTACACTTGGCCCTCCAATGTCAATAAGGACCTGTCCTTTAATACTATCTAACTCTAGTCTTAGAATTTAGATTGTATACATAATGTAGTTCCAGTCACTCAGATCAAGGAGAATATTGCTAAAAGTATTAAAGTTAAAAAGAAAGAGGGCTGCGCATGGCAGCTCAGCCTATAATCCCAGCACTTTTGGAGGCCAAGGCGGAAGAATTGCTTAAGGCTAGCAGTTCCAGACCAGCCTGGGCAACAGAGCAAGACCACATCTCTAAAAAATTAAAAAAACAAAAAATTAGCCAGGCATGGTGGAACGTGCCTGTAGTCCCAGCTACTTGGGAAGCTGAAGCGGGAGGACTGTTTGAGCCTAGAAGGTCAAGGTTGCAAGGAGCGATGATAACATCACTGCCTTCTAGCCTGGGTGACAGAGTGAGACCCTGTTTCAAAACAGAAAAAAACAAAACGAAACAGAAAGAGTATAAAAAATAATTTGTCAACTGTTAAATAAACAATATACAAACAAGTTATTATTACTGGTTGCTTTATAGTAGAATGGAGATCTGGGCAGTTTCTCTAAAACTTAGCTTCTCAAATTTGCCCATCAACATAAACCTAATAGAAAAAAATAAATACTCCAAAGTGACCTAAACACCACAAGCATAAGATCCATCTGAAAATAGGTTTGTGTGGATTCACTGAAAAACATACCAACATTATGTTCTGCCTCATGGTATATCTAGGAAAACCTTCTTTGAAGATTTTTTGAGAAAAAGACGGTATCACTGGTAGTAGTCAATTCTGAGAACAGAGCCATGTACAATGGCATTCTTTGTGGCCAACAAACTTCCAATGGGGAGTGGCTTTCCAGACATTCAAGGGCATAGGGATGCTGAGAAAAACCAGAGTTTTGAGACTGTTAGTAATCAGACATGCCATCCCTCTACACTGCTCGCCTTCACTGCACAAGTCCCTTCTCTTACAGAGATTCAGCCTCACAGGTAACTTCTATCTCAAGCACCCACAGGTTGTTGCTTTAGTTGACTTGTACATAATGAGGAGATTAAAATCTGTTAATAGGACATACCCACTGGAAAACACATTCAATTAGAAAACACAGCTTTCTAGGCTGGGCACGGTAGCTCACGCCTGTAATTCCAGCACTTTGGGAGGTGGAGGCGGGTGGATCATGAGGTCAGAAGTTCAAGACCAGCCTGGCCAAAATGGTGAAACCCCGTCTCTACTAAAAATACAAAAATCAGATGGGTGTGGTGGCGGGTGCCTGTAATCCCAGCTACTCGGGAGGCCGAGGCAGAGAACTGCTTGAACCCAGGAGGCGGAGGCTGCAGTCAGCCAAGACAGCACCACTGCACTCCAGCCTGGGAAACAGAGTGAGACTCTGTCTCAAAAAAAAAAAAAGAAAACACAGCTTTCCATATTTAAGTAGTATGAGAGGTTAATCATATGGTACAACATATTTATTAACACTGAAATGACAAAAATTTCCATTAGCTAAAGCATTTAATCCGTATTTTTAAATTAAATGGATAAGATGGCCAGGTGCAGTGGTTCACGCCTGTAATCCCAGCACTTTGGGAGGCCAAGGCAGGCAGATCGCCTGAGGTTAGGAGTTTGAGACCCGTCTGACCAATATGGAGAAACCCTGTCTCTATTAAATATACAAAATTAGCCAGGCGTGGTGGCGCATGCCTATAATCCCAGCTACTACGGAAGCTGAGGTAGGAGAATCGAATGAACCTGGGAGAGGGAGGTTGCAGTGAGCTGAGATCGCGCCACTGCACTCCAGCCTGGGCCATAAGAGCGAAACTCCGTCTCAAAAATAAATAAATAAATAAATAACAAAGAGGAGGAGAATAAATTAATTTTAAAATAGGAACAAAATCCAGGTGAGGCTTCTTATGAAAAAAAAAAAAAAAAAAGGAACAGAAGCAACTTCCCAGCTAAAGGACCCATTTTTAGTATAAGAAGGTTCACCTAATGCTGAACAATGAATAATAAAGAATACTTCACAATAAGATATATACAGATGAAATTTCAGAATATCAAGAGGAGATATTTAAGACTTTCTTTTTTTTTTTCTCAGATGGAGTCTCGCTCTGTCATGAGGCTGGAGTGCAGTGGCACAATCTCGGCTCACTGCAACCTCTGCCTCCCAGGTTCAAGCAATTCTCCTGCCTCAGCCTCCAGAGTAGCTGGAACTATAGGCATGCACCACCACGCCCAGGTAATTTTTGTAATTTTAGTAGAGACGGGTTTCATCATGTTGGCCAGGATGGTCTCGATCTCTTGATCTTGTGATCCACCCACCTCAGCCTCCCAAAGTGCTAGG